GCACTTGCCTTGGATACAAAAGGCCATAGAACTCACGAATCAAGATAAATAATATTTTAATGAATCTTTTAAAAACCTAAACTATTGTCACAATCCATGCTAAACAAAGTGAATAAATCCAAAACAGAAAATATTACTTAGGGAAACCATAAATAGAACCTATATTTCCCAAATTGCCAACAAATGAATAATAGACCATTATATAATTAAATTTGTAGAAATAATCAGATTCAAAAAACAAAGGGCAGATTAATTTTTATTCAGTGAGTTTATATTCTATTAAAATAAATGAAAGAGCAGTGTTTCAAAGTTTATAATAATGTAGGTATTTTTTAAAGTATCATTAAAGAAACAATTAATGATGTAACACAATTCCTAAACTTGAAATTCATCTATTTAATTATAAGTTTATTGTAATTAAACTTCATATGAAGTTACTAGAGTGAAATCTTCCTTTGATTACATTAAGTTAGAAAAAAGACACATGTTATTGGTTACACAAAGAAGAGATTTAAATTCTATACAGAACTCAGCAAATTGTTTATCTATGCAAGCTAGCCTTGTGTCCTAGTGAAATCCCACAAAACAGCACTGACAATCAGTCACTAAAGTCAGGAACTTGTCAGTAAGAAGACAACTACTGGGCTTTCTCCCCCAGCACTGTCATCTTTTTAGATTCTTTTCTGGAGCTTCACATTAATTTTCTTAATGTTTTTAACCCAATGCCTGTGAAATTTTTATTGCTCCCCAGATGACGACATCTGATCTGAATGTAACCACACACCTCTTTACTCAGCAGTATTTGTCACAACCCTTATAAATTATCATGCTGATAGGTTGCCTTGCTGGGAAACTGGAAAGGTTCCATAAATTCTGTCGTATCAATGACATTCTTGTTTATTATGCAGATATAAAGTTTTATGAGATTCAAGATGTCTGCAGCACCACACTTCACAACATGGAGCATTCTCTGGTGCCAAAAAGAGAACTTATCATTCCTTCCATTTCCTTAACACCTTCTCCTCTCAGAACATTCTCTAACCCCCTCAACATCAACATAACAATAAAACCAGGCGGTATATATAGCCAGAAATCCTAGCACAAAATTAGCCCTGCAGACAGATGTTCTACTTACACTCTGCTGAACGATTGATCAATACCCCTTGTTCAATAAAAGAATTCAGCAAGTTATAATACTGTATTCTGTTTTTCACTGCTTATTTGTAATGAAAACTGATTCAGTGGTGGCATAAACATAGACTGTTGCATTTTAAAACTAATAAGCACAACCTGCACACTATTTTTCCCTAAGGAAACAACAACCTCCTTACCCTCCCCCATCCCAATATGCACTTTTGTATTGGGTCAGTCTTGGTGTTATACACATGAAAAGTTGTGATAAATAAATCATAAATTATATTGTTAAAATTATGAAGCAGTTTATTTATTTAATTACAAATAAAACAGTAAAATGTAAATGAAAATTTGGTTTACCATAACTAATCTATTTTATTACTTATCCACCTCTATACCTTACAGAAAAATAATTGTTTACTTGGCTCTCAAGGATGTTTCTCAATAAGCAAATGCACTCAGGAATTTATTTCTTGAGCTTTCGCATGGTGAAAGTTGACTACACAAATACTGATGATATCAAGAGAAAATGTGGGGTGTATTACATGATCATCCCATTACTAGATCGATATATTCAGTTAGACATATGCTTAACTTTATATTTCCAAATGTTCTAACAATCACCCAGTTGTAAAGATATTGTAAAAAATGATAATGTCTTGCCCTAGCTGGTTTGGCTCAGTTGATAGATAGTCAGCCTGCGGAATGAAGGGTCCCCGGTTCAATTCTGGTCAAGGGCACATTCCCCGGTTTTGGGCTTGATCTGCAGTGGGGAGTGGGGAGTGCAGAAGGCAACCATCAATGATTTTCTCTCATCATTGATGTTTCTATCTATCTCTCCCTTCCCCTTCCTCTCTGAAATCAATAAAAATTTTTTTTAAATGATAACTTCTTTTGAGGGGAACTTTTAACTTTTCAAAGGGCTCTCATATCCACTATCTCATTATCCACTACAGTAACCTTATGACATTGGTACAAGTATATATAATATAGCTGAGAAAGGGAAAGAAAATATCTCAAGACAACAGTTTGCTCTTACCAAGAATAATGACCAAAAGACTTCTGAATTGATTTATTATAACTAGTTTTGTACCATTTCAAATACAATTTTGGAAGTAGCCTAATAGAAATTTAAAAAAACAAACACAAAACCCACCAGAACCCAAAAGTTATGTTTTTGTGCATCTAACATAAACTTTTGAAGTCTATGAATTTGTTGTTCCACGAGTTTCTGGTGGTTTCCACGTTTTGTGGGAAATTCTACCGCCTCCCCCCACAAAATATAAAGCTGTTGATTCTTCTCACAGCCTTTTCAAAAGGAGATAAGAATTCTGCCGCCATTTGTAGAATTTCAACTACAACCTTCAACAATAACTAGTAATCATGTGGAGCAACCTGAAAAGATAGAAACTACAATGTCTTAAGTTGGTTTATCAATATTGTTTTTTGAATTTTCATTGATAAAATGATCAGATAACAATACTTCAAAACATGGCACAAAGATACTTCCCATGCCACAACGTTCATTGACTTCATCAGGCTAAAAATAGACTTTCAAGACTGGCTAGGAAATGGCACCTTCACAGAGAACAAACTCTCAGTTACCATAATTAAGAAATCACCTTACTCTAGCATTAAAAAATATCACCATCATAATTACAGAAACAATATTCTTGGCCACATCAGTTTATTGAACTACCTTGCTAACATCACTAAAATTGTCTCTCCCTTGAAAATACAATTACCCGTTTTCTTCTCATCTTAAAAAAGAAAACTAACTAAAATCCCACCATATCCTACCTCACACCATGGTATGGCAAATATTTAAGGCTTACTGTGTGCCAGACACTGCTGTAAGCACTTTATGTATATTAACACACTCAACTGGCTTCCCTTTCTTACATTTCCACTCCAGTTGTGTCCTGGAGTTGGCTTGCACCAGCTCACAAGAACCAACTGTAGACATCTCTTTGCAACTCTGTACAGAGTGACATCACAAGGGTAGTTTAAAATTGGCCATGGAGGGAGTATTTATACTACAGAAATTGTCAAACATTTACCAGCACACCACTGCTAATAACCACTGAGTATTCTGAATTCTTTAACTATTATATTACACATACACATGGTCATGATTTTCAGATCAGGAATTAGTAAATGTGAGTTTATTGAAATTTAATAGCACCTTATTTTGGAGAATAATTTCATTTCTTGAATATGTTTTATCAGCGTTTCTTAAAAACATGTCCTATAGCAGTTTAAGTATTGTCAAAAAACAAAAATAAAATAGAAACAAGTCTCTAGGCTATCTAGGTGATTGACAATGTAAAAACCACCATACAGAATATTGACTCCCCCCAAAATACAATAAGCTCTGTTTCTTAGCAGTCACTGTAACATTCTATTAATGACAACTTTCATACAAGATTTAAAAAGTCAATTTAATATCCTGAAGCACCTCTGAATCACAGGACAAAGATTAAATTAGAATCAGCATAATTCTATTGTACTATAGTGTATGCTGATTACTTGGAAATTGATCAACAGTATATGAATTGCTAATTCTGTGTGCACTAGAATACTGAGTTAACATTCTAGTTAACCAGATGAAGTCAATACCCTGTCCATGAAAAATTAGTTTACCCCACCAACTCAACATGCTATTCAGGACTTACTACAGGTGGGAATATTTTCATATTACTCTGTTCTTTCCTAAAAGAGTTATGTGTTTTCAGATAGAATACTTTTAATAATGAGTGTGCCTACATAATAATGTTGATATCCAGTGAAAGTAGTAATCTATATTCATTATATACAATGATATCAAACTGACCCATTTTAAAACTTGGGAAACATATCCCTGAGAGACACTTTAGAATTCAGATTTAACTAGATTGTTTTCCTTTGTTCAAACTATTTATATGTCTAAACTTCATTAAAAATTGATATTCAGCTTCAAATCTCTGGAGAATACACCATGAGCAGTAGGGCAGAGTGGGATGATGTGGACAAAACAGAGATGGGGGTCTGTTGGCTGTCCAGAGAGAAGAGTAAATCTGGCTCTTTGTGGACTGCTGCCTGCAATGTCAACACTTCCCTTCCATACTGTGGAAAACTGAACACCAGTTTGTTCACATAAAGTGGGGAAATATAATTTAGACTCTATAGTGTGACTGTTTTCATAATAATGAAATCTGGCATAATAACTTAACAATGCTTCATAACTTAATAATTAGAAGGAGATAGCAAAACTAAAACAGATGAATGAAATACTGATTCATATTTGAGTCTCATTTTACTCATTGTGCATTAATAATTATTTTACTCATCTTCAATAAAAGATTTGCAATCATTTATCCACCATAAAAATCCCCTTATCCAACTTACCCTATATTCCTTTTATTTTCAATAATTTTCTTTTGTCATGCCAATAAGATAGAGTTCTTAAATTACAAAATGTGCCACAGATTTGTTACAAAAATATCCAATCTTACTGTCTTTCAATGCCACAAATGTTAGTAACTCCCAATATTTAATAAAAACTCAAATGAAAGTTTGGGTTTCTAGTTCTCCTTTCCAGGTGGGGATGGAGGGAAGACACATGTATATACATTTCAAAACCAAAAGTGTTAACAGGAAAAATAATATGAGCGATTGCACATTTAAATATAACCTTCCTAGTTTAGGAAACTCAGAAATCACTTAACATAATTTAATTTCCATACCCACTGACATGTAATCGGGCCTAGACTGGAATGCCCCCTGGATCCATTTATATCCCAGATTGTACACTCAGGATGCCCCGTTAGACATCGCGACCACTAGATGGTGCTGTGGTGCCCCGTTCAAATAACGCTCTTACTTACTTGCAGTCTCGGTCCTCCAAATCAAAGTGAGGGTTGAAGTTGATCATAATTCTCTGGTATGGTTCTGGAGCCTGAATCAACCATTCACATTTTTCACTTGGATGATAAGAATGAGGATAACCAGGAGATGTAAGGTACCCGGGGTTTTCAATTTTTATAGTATTGCCACATTTATCTGTAATGAAAATAACATTTTAGTAGATCTTTCCCCTCACAACCAGTTAGGTACTCTAGCTTTGTATGTAAATTACCAGCTATTGAACACCCCATAACTTCGTATGGAGAATTCTGACCCCTGCAGGTCCTTCAGGTGGCGCGTATACAGATAGTAACGCCCCACCAAGGATGCTCTTTGATCCCAGGGAAGGTTGGATCAGGAGGAAAGTGAACTGAGATCTAAAATGACTGGATCCCCACCCCCCACAAACTTCTGTCCCAAGACAAAGGTCTTCTAGCATTAAAAACATGGAGTCCCCTCAATGGATGTTAACAGGGTTCCAGGGAGCTTCTGCTAGACTTAATTATCCCCAAAGAAGTGTAATCGAATTAAGTAGCAAGTTCTAAGTGAAAGGTGACTACATAATGCTGTTGGAACCCTTCTGTAGCTTTTGATGATAAGCTTGGTCTGTGTCATTGGTCAGTGGGGATTGGCTTCCAAGACAAACCTTTTCTGTTGTTTTATCTGCCCATAAATCTAAGTGATTGTGTGTTATCTCTGCTCCATTCAGATTAACACAGAACAAAGTCTATTTGGTGAAGCAGAAATAATTCTACTCTATTTCTCCAAGTAAAGTTGCTGGGGCTGGGAGACCAGATCAAAATAATGGGGCAGAAGAAAAATAATTCCAATTATCTACATGTTGAAAAAATCCACCACACTAAGATCTGTCTGATAATACATATGGTAAGCCCCATTCTCACATTCTGGGAAAGGTGAGCTAACTCTTTCTGAGCTTTCATTGCAAAAAAACCCAAATGCTGAAGTGATTCATTAATTAAATAAACCAGTCTCCAGGCTGATTTCTTGTTCAGCATAGATTCTCATTGTCACTTTTTATGATGGATTTCATACTCAGCCTGAAATGCAGCCGCATTTATTGATGCTTAATTTTGAGCAATAAAAATTCAGTGAATAAACTATGAAAGAGGAACAGGTATGAAAGCAGTGAAACATATAAGCCTATCAATCACAAAATTTCAATAATGGTATATATAGATTTTAATATTGCATCTAATAGATTCCCTGTGGAAAGAGAATAGCATTCTTTGCTCTCAGCATGAATTTACAAATCTACAGAATTTTATTACAGGAAAACCAGGTCAAATGGAAATGAAAGATAAAGTGCACATCAAAAATGCATAAAGCTACATGCATTACAGAAATCATTTCCCATAAATTAAAAAGAAGACAATATGAATTATATTGTTTTCCTCAATTGCTAGATGTTTCTATGTTTCTTAGACTAGAAATGGCACACTGATTACCTCTGCCTTGGCTTTTAAAAGCTTAAGATTTGCCCAGAAGAAATGATGTTGCAACTGGAGTTCAGAATCTCAGCTAATGATCATATTGGAAGTTGTTGTGTGATTCTACCCAGGCTCTTACTTTATTTAAAATGTGCAAAAAAACTTGGAAAGTGACCCCATCTCATTAAGTCTCCTCCAGCTCTGTACGGATATCATGGCATAGTCTGTTATCTGTTAGAGGAGTGAAATAAAACAGTACTGCTTCTAGTTACTCGACAGAGTCACTGCAGAGACATTTAGGTGGCCTCAGTACCACACCAGAGCTCTTTAATCTGTGACTTCTGAGAAAGTGACAGTGTAATAAGATAATGTGGACTGCTAGACTCCCTGGCTCTGTTCAATCTCTCTAGCAGTTGATTAAGAAAGAGCAATTTCTAATGACTCTGGACCATTAGTCCTAAATAAGGTTAATGAATTAATTTAGCAGACACTGGGACTCACAGGAGGTGGACATGGCTTTAAGAGGTCTGCTGAGCTACTGAAGTTGTGGTCACTGCAAGCATAGCAACATGGCTTTAACTTATCAAGCTTACCAACTCAAGCTCAGGTTCCTAGTATCCCCCAGATTTCTGCTAAGGAAAAAAATATATATATACATATATACACACATTTATAACATATATAGTGTATCCAAAAAATGTATGCACAGACTTTGAATAATTATAAAGGCAGTGCTTATTAAAATACATTTCACTTTCAAAATTGAACTATCAGCTGTTAAAGTGTGTATACATTTGGGGGGACACCTTGGAGAGACAGAGAGAGGTAGAGAGGGGTCACAACCTCAAGTCTGAAAGCTATTTGCATTAGGTTTCAAATCCATCCTGTGAACATCGCTACTGATTTATTCTCAGGAGTTGGGGAGGGTGAGTTTCTGTAATTTCTAAAGTCTAACCACCTGAGCTCCTTCAATTGGAGGAGAGTGTTATTTTATCCCCTACCAAATTATAAAAATATACCACGACCTCAGGTTCAGTACTAAATTGAACTCTGCATTTGCAGTTGTGTGTGTGTGTGTGTGTGTGTGTGTGTGCGTGTTTTGTTTCCAAACCTATCTTTCAGAACACTACTTAGAAGCTGTGGGGACGAAATTTATAGCTTCAATCACAAAACCCCCAAAAAGCATATTAGAGAGATTAACTTCCATCATAAAGATAGGATTTAAATCCCTCCTGGTCTGAACACCCTCCCCTTATGGTCTCTTGTTAAAACAATATACTACAGTAAGTAGTGGATGGGCTTTTCTTCTAATTACTTTGATTGAAATCTAAACCAGAGTAAATATATATATGTTTATAAATCTTTATTACATATCCCTTTTTCTCACATTGCCCCTCCCCAAGCCTTCACCACCCAAGGAGTAAATATTTGATAATTAGTTAATAATAATTGCTGAAGACTCACTGTAAAGATAATTTCATATCCTTAACTTCACAGGGTAAATGAAACATGCCTACAATCAGATCACAAATTAAAACACATTATTTAGGTTACAGGATACTGTTTATACCGCAGCACAGTGTTCCATTTATTTAACAGGGAGTCGTTGTAAAGCTCAGTGGAAGCTGCAGCTAGGTTAGGGATTTTCAGATATCCTGGTGCCTACACTGTATACATCAGATTCCTGTATTGACACTGTAACTTTTATTCATGCTCCAGACGGATTAGGGACGATTTACAAAGGCGGGAGTTCCATCAATCAACCAACCGCTATCTCTTAGAGGCACCCACCAGAGGAAACAGTTAAGGGAGCAGAAGAGAACAGGGAGTACTGGTAAAGCCTTCATTCACTTTCAACAGCCATAGATTTTTGAAAGGGTGTCTCATCTAATTGCCTTTGGGAGGAAACATTATTAAGGTAATTGGTGTGTTGATCTGGGAAGGTAGGCAGAGCTACCTTGTAGCAGAGATAGGAAAACCCCCATAGCCAGACCACAAACTTCAGGAGGGAGACAGAAGGCTTAAAATATTCCTGCCCTTAACCGACCGATCTGATTTCTTTATTTCTCCGCCTGGATAAAAGTTTCCTTCGCCCATGAAGTGGCTACTCCGGGTTCATCCCAACAGCGCCGCAGGAATCGTAGCTGGGCGGGAAACCAAGCCCGGCGGGACCGGGCAGCCCTGAGCCCCGGGCGGGCGCTGTCTCGAGCGCCTCCGCCTGTCACTTACCGTTGCGAAAAGCGCTGGCCTGGGCGAGGGCGAGGGTGAGCGCGGCGCCGAAGAGCAGCAGCCTCCTCTCCATTCTCCCTACGACGGATCCCCAAGCAGGTTCGAGAGAACAAGGACGGGCGGGGAAAACAGAGCAAAAAGGGGAATCTAAACAATCCAAAGCTCTCAAATCCGCCCAGAGCTGTAAAATCCTCAGTCCCTCTTGGAGAAAGAAAAGCAGTGAGGCAGTGACTTCTTCCGAGAGCTACGCTTCTCTTCTTGTGTCTCAAGTCTCCTGCATCCTGTCATTTAGCTTCGGTTTCCTCTCTCTTTTCCCACACTTGTTCCTCTTCCAGGAGCCACTGCCCAAGCCATGTCTCAAAGGGGGGAGGAAAAGGGGGGGGGGAGGTGCGTGGGAGGGAAGCACACACCAAAGCCAATTTCCAGAAAGGAAAAATAAACCCGGCTTGTCTCTGGACCCGTTGGAGCCCTGGAGCTGGCGCCCAGGGGAGGTCCGGGTGTCTGCGTGAAGGAGAGGAGCAAGCAATGAGAAGAGCCGAGGCAGAGGAGTTTCACCAACTGCAGCCTCCTCCCTTACCCCTCCCCTCCCCTCCACTTCCTCCCGTCCTTCCCGGAGCCCTTCCCCCACTCCCTCCCGCCCCTCTCCCCGCACTGGCTGGCCAGTCTGTGTCTGCGGGGAGAGGAGGAACAAGTTTCCTTGGGAGTGCTTTCCTCGTCCTTTGCTCAGTCTCTCCCGGAGGCCCTGCAGGGATCTCCAAGCGGGGGAGGCGCTAGGTCTGCACTCAGGGCCTGTGTGTTTGGGTAAGGGGGCATCAAGGTGAGCCAGCGATGGGGTCGGGCCTGCTGATCTCGGCGTACTCGCTCGCGACCCCCGGGATACAGCCGGCAGCTCTCCAAGGATCTACACTGTAGATTCTACAGGATCCGGCCGCCTGGAGCGCGGAGCGCCAGGGAGGCGGTGGCTGCCTCTCACAACTCAGAATCCTCCACCCGCGTCCGCG